CGGTGGTGGTTATGGTGGCGGCTCTGGCTATGGATCGGGATATGGATCAGGCTATGGTTCTGGATATGGTGTGGGAGGTGGTCAAAACCCTTTGAGAGAACAATCAACTCCCAGACCAACTAACAAGCAACAGCCTATTTAAGCTTCTCTCATTCTCAACTCGTAGCCTGTTATCTGTGTGTCTGCAATTCATTGGTGTCTAACTGTCTCTCTGTTTCTGCTTGTCATGGAATAAGACCACCATTTTTCACAGTTTAGCTTATGTACATGGTGGACTTCAAAAGGGAAAGTCTGAAACCTAAATAAAGCAAATCAAAACTCTGAAGTAACCAGGGTTTACATGTTCCATACTTCATATAAGACACGTGGCACTCATAAGAACGTTGTAGTGGTAAAATATAAAAACCTCCCCTGAGTTTTTTTGACAATCTTATAAACCTCCCCTATGTTTTGATTTTAATAGAATCCTCTCCTATAGTTTTGAAAAAAGCTATAAATACCTCCATTCCATTAAAGTTCCATTAACTTAGAAGAATAATTTACTAAAATACCCTTAAATACTACCAAGTATCATCCTCCTCTTTATGAGATGTATACTTCTACATCAAGTTCAACAAGAACAGAGCAAGTTCTCTTTGAAACAAAAACATCTCCACAAATTCACTAGCAACATTCCTGTAGGTTTCAGCAAGATTTCAACAGGCAATTGATAATCTTAATTTAGATTCCATGTTTGATTTCTCTAGTTTGTCAAGATTTTTGCTCTTGGGGATCAATCCGTGTGGAAGACAATGTCTTTGACTTTGTTCATGTTAAATTTAATAAAACAATCCAAGTAAGATTGAGAGAAATAGGTTGGCGCTTAATACTTAATAGAACTTTGAATTTTTTTTCTGTTTTATGATTTGAGATCGTGTTAGGAATTTCTTTGAACACTTGGAGTACTATCACGCACATCATATGAATGCATTATAAAGATGAATTCAGTACGGTTGAAGCCTTTTGGGTAGATTAAATAGTTCTAAAAAAATGGATGTTAAATTACTTAAATAGTAAAAGGAATCGCTTAGAACCATTTAACAGGCATCTCCACGAAGTCTCTAGACTGTGGTTCCTATTTTCCTATCACCTGAAAAAAAAATGAAAAGAAAAAAAATAGTAAAGAAATAGAATGAAGAAGAAAGAGAGAAGAAGAATAAAAGAGACGGAAAATTAAGAAAATATGAAAAATAAATAAAATAGAGCAAAAGGATAAAAAAAATGAGTTATGATTGCTTAGCTCAATTGAGACATAGAAGTGGAAAAAATAGGAGTAGGAGATTGGTTTGCTCCGGTTACCACTTTAAGGGTAAATGTGGTATTTTAAGAAAATTTATGTATTACGTTAGGGTTTTCGGCCAGAAAAACTAATAAGAGGGAGGTATATGCACCATTTTTCAAAACTATAAGGGAGGATTCTGTTCATATCAAAACACAGGGGAGATTTATAAGATTGTCAAAAAACTCAGGGGAGGTTTTTGTATTTTACCCTTTTTTATTTCTTTTCATTACACAAACATTTGTTAATGTGGGGTCCAAATCACTTCAGGCACGCCCCTAATGCAACCTGAGATCACCATTTCTCTAAAATTTTGTGGAATACAGACTTGGACTAGTGAGTGGTGACCATTACACGAGACCAGGTCTGCTCTTCACACATGAGGCCTCACACCGACCTCACAGGCACATCCTCACACATTGGGAACTTTTCTCGTTGTTAATATTTATGGGTAATAGCATATAAGGGCAATTTTTGGGGTTTAATATCAATAAAAGTAATATATTTAAAAAATTTTCAAAAATATGTTAGCTTTTTAAAAATAATTTCAATAAAGGGCAAAAATATTGTTCATCTTCCTCTTCTTTGCCATTTGTTCACTGGAACCGCCGTGCCCATCACACAATGCGATGTGAATATCATTATGGGAAATGTTCCCATTACACATGCCACTTTTCTGGTCTATTTAGTGCGAACCAGATAAAACACTTGGCAAGATGCAAGTTTTGTACAGTATGCACAGAATTTATGGCCTCTAACTCTGTATGGTTTCAATTTTCAATTGTGGGATTTTCATACCATCTGCAATACAGAACTGTCGATAGAAAACTTCTATGATATTCCCCCAACTTGAAAAGAAGATCTAATTCTTGAATCTATGCTTCTCCTGCCTGAATTTTTGCTATTGAATGATTGAATATATTGCATATGCTCAAGTTACTCAACGCAAAATCTAACTTCTCTCTTTTGCGTACCACTTCAAGCTAAGAAACAAACGGGAACGACTCTCTTCCCAATTTCTACAATCTTGACAAATAATTGAATCACCATGTTGTTCAAACTTCACTCTCAACTCTCAACTCTCAAGGTTACTTAAACAACAAAAACTAGTGCAGATTCAAGTACAAACATCTCAGCTGATGAAGGCATTGAGAAATTATACAGATTTTCAATGAGAAGGCCAGCCATAGTTTATGGGTTTCCATTGGTTTCATTTGCAGTTTTAGGTTTTCAAGAGAAGGGTTAGCACTTAGCAGTAGTGGAACAGGGCCTTCTTGTAGGGAGGAACCCCAGATTATCTAAGCCGGATGAACAAGGTTGGTTTTTTCTTTGCATGTATAACGTTTGTGTTTATAAACTTTGCAATTTGTATTTGTGTTTATGCATATGTTTGTGAATTTGGTAGGTAAGGTTCCAACTTCCAAAACTGTGTGTCAGCTTAAGGTTAGGGTTTAGGTTTTACTATTTTAGCACATCATGTTAGATTAAAGTTGACGTAAACTTGAGCCAACCTAGCCCAGGTCACACCGCTACTATGTTGTAGTCAATAACGAGGTTATACTTGGTTATATTATTACTTGCAAACTGTATATTCTGCCTTACTCTATAGTCTATATAATTAGTTGTTACAGACTCTAGACCCCCTGAAGCTAAAGCCTTGCCAATCAAATGAACACATATCCTCAAAATAGAACACTTACCCAATGATGTCAAATGATAGAAAGCTTAAAGAATTGAATCTACAATATTTTTACTCAATCATCAACTATATCTCTTTTGCTCATCAGATTTGTAGACCCTGAAAGTATATGATAGACAAAAGCTTGCTAACCACAATCATCTTTGACAAAATTTACCAAGAGATGACAAATGAAATCCATCCTACTAAGCACATTTTAACCACCAAGGGTGTTTGCTAACAACAATGGATACAATTGGGCTATACAATTAAAACGATACTTCTTTGTCATAGTGGAGAAAAACAAGGGGAAAAAAGCACAACTACATACCTTATGTTGTTAATTATGTTAATAAATAACTACACTAATATGGAAAAAAACAAGGAATGGATAAAAACAAGTCAAAGTTCCCTGATCCCTGATAAAAGTTCTTTTCAGCCTGAAGTTCCCACCAAGGTTCAAAATATTGATACGCCTGATACGCTAGTAGGGGCGTATTGAGCAAATCGATACACATTTTTATTGCTTTTTTTTATTTTTTTTCGCAACCAATTCAGGGGGGCCGGTTTAGGTCTCCTCTACCCCCTTAACCGATCAGACCTCCAATACACCCACTGTAGGGGCGTATGGAGGGGTCCCAGAATGATACACATCGGCCGATACGAGCCAATACATGTTGATACTTTGAACCTTGGTTTCCACTTGGCTAATGTTCCAATTGAGCAAGCAAGTTGTGTCATCATCAAGATTCACTTGATGCATACGTATTTACCAAAGTTGAGTATTTATAGATTCATCCAATGTATTCATAGATTTTAACAATAGTCTTGATTCAGCTATGGCTGAGTTTGGAAGGAGTACAAATGCAACCATGTAGAGTGAAAAACCTTATATTTTGTATTATTTTGTATGTATTTACGCTATGCATATTTGCATTTGTACTACTTCCAAACTGAGCCTACATACCCTTCATTTGAACATGTCTTTTGGAATGGCAAATGCACTCTGGGTATGGATTTTCATAAAAAGATTCTTTAGTTCTGAACCGACCTCGGCCTTTAATTCCTGGCAGGGCACCTTGCCTTTTCCTTGGAGTTCCTTGCCTGTTTGATTTCAAGCTCATGAGTAGTTACTTTAAGTCCATTTGGTTTCCTCTTATTCTGAAGGCCTAGAGAAGGGCTTACACAGACAAAAGAACTTACCTGTTTTTGTGCATTTGTATTACAAGATTTGATAACGTTGATCATTCTTTTAGCTCCCCTCTTTTAATCTTATCAAACACTTTCACAAGTCTACCCTTGAAGACAAAGTTAAAACATAGCAATTGAAAAATATTAAACCTAGGGAGTGTTGCATTTTGATTTCAGCAAACAAATGGAACACCTTTAGGTGTGTCTCCAAACACAGAAACAACCAATGCACAAAAATAACTTTCATCAAACTGAAACTACATGAATGAAGCGGTTTTAGCAGCGATACAACCATCCATAGCTTATACAGGACTTATATTCTAGTGATTTATTTTTACTTTTTTAGTAGGAAATC